ACACACTGTATACTGCATCAGTGTAGACAGCGTCAGTCATTATAATCTGAACACACATTGTATACTGTATAAGTGTAGACAGCGTCAGTCATTATAATCTGAACACACACTGTATACTGTATCAGTGTAGACAGCGTCAGTCATTATAATCTGAACACACACTGTATACTGTATCAGTGTAGACAGCGTCAGTCATTATAATCTAAACACACACTGTATACTGTATCAGTGTAGACAGTGTCAGTCATTATAATCTGAACACACATTGTATACTGTATAAGTGTAGACAGCGTCAGTCATTTTAATCTGAACACACACTGTATACTGTATCAGTGTAGACAGCGTCAGTCATTATAATCTGAACACACATCTGTATACTGTATCAGTGTAGACAGCGTCAGTCATTATAATCTGAACACACATCTGTATACTGTATAAGTGTAGACAGCGTCAGTCATTATAATCTGAACACACACTGTATACTGTATCAGTGTAGACAGCGTCAGTCATTATAATCTGAACACACATCTGTATACTGTATAAGTGTAGACAGCGTCAGTCATTATAATCTGAACACACACTGTATACTGTATCAGTGTAGACAGCGTCAGTCATTATAATCTGAACACACATCTGTATACTGTATCAGTGTAGACAGCGTCAGTCATAATCTGAACACACACTGTATACTGTATCAGTGTAGACAGCGTCAGTCATTATAATCTGAACACACATCTGTATACTGTATCAGTGTAGACAGCGTCAGTCATTATAATCTGAACACACATCTGTATACTGTATCAGTGTAGACAGCGTCAGTCATTATAATCTGAACACACACTGTATACTGTATCAGTGTAGACAGCGTCAGTCATTATAATCTGAACACACATCTGTATACTGTATAAGTGTAGACAGCGTCAGTCATTATAATCTGAACACACATCTGTATACTGTATAAGTGTAGACAGCGTCAGTCATTATAATCTGAACACACATCTGTATACTGTATAAGTGTAGACAGCGTCAGTCATTATAATCTGAACACACACTGTATACTGTATCAGTGTAGACAGCGTCAGTCATTATAATCTGAACACACACTGTATACTGTATAAGTGTAGACAGCGTCAGTCATTATAATCTGAACACACACTGTATACTGTATAAGTGTAGACAGCGTCAGTCATTATAATCTGAACACACACTGTATACTGTATAAGTGTAGACAGCGTCAGTCATTATAATCTGAACACACATCTGTATACTGTATAAGTGTAGACAGCGTCAGTCATTATAATCTGAACACACACTGTATACTGTATAAGTGTAGACAGCGTCAGTCATTATAATCTGAACACACATCTGTATACTGTATAAGTGTAGACAGCGTCAGTCATTATAATCTGAACACACACTGTATACTGTATAAGTGTAGACAGCGTCAGTCATTATAATCTGAACACACACTGTATACTGTATAAGTGTAGACAGCGTCAGTCATTATAATCTGAACACACATCTGTATACTGTATAAGTGTAGACAGCGTCAGTCATTATAATCTGAACACACACTGTATACTGTATAAGTGTAGACAGCGTCAGTCATTATAATCTGAACACACATCTGTATACTGTATAAGTGTAGACAGCGTCAGTCATTATAATCTGAACACACACTGTATACTGTATCAGTGTAGACAGCGTCAGTCATTATAATCTGAACACACATCTGTATACTGTATCAGTGTAGACAGCGTCAGTCATTATAATCTGAACACACACTGTATACTGTATCAGTGTAGACAGCGTCAGTCATTATAATCTGAACACACATCTGTATACTGTATAAGTGTAGACAGCGTCAGTCATTATAATCTGAACACACATCTGTATACTGTATAAGTGTAGACAGCGTCAGTCATTATAATCTGAACACACATCTGTATACTGTATAAGTGTAGACAGCGTCAGTCATTATAATCTGAACACACACTGTATACTGTATCAGTGTAGACAGCGTCAGTCATTATAATCTGAACACACACTGTATACTGTATCAGTGTAGACAGCGTCAGTCATTATAATCTGAACACACACTGTATACTGTATCAGTGTAGACAGCGTCAGTCATTATAATCTGAACACACATCTGTATACTGCATCAGTGTAGACAGCGTCAGTCATTATAATCTGAACACACACTGTATACTGCATCAGTGTAGACAGCGTCAGTCATTATAATCTGAACACACACTGTATACTGTATCAGTGTAGACAGCATCAGTCATTATAATCTGAACACACTGTATACTGTATCAGTGTAGACAGCGTCAGTCATTATAATCTGAACACACACTGTATACTGTATCAGTGTAGACAGCGTCAGTCATTATAATCTGAACACACACTGTATACTGTATCAGTGTAGACAGCGTCAGTCATTATAATCTGAACACACACTGTATACTGTATCAGTGTAGACAGCTTCAGTCATTATAATCTGAACACACATCTGTATACTGTATCAGTGTAGACAGCGTCAGTCATTATAATCTGAACACACACTGTATACTGTATAAGTGTAGACAGCGTCAGTCATTATAATCTGAACACACACTGTATACTGTATAAGTGTAGACAGCGTCAGTCATTATAATCTGAACACACATCTGTATACTGTATCAGTGTAGACAGCGTCAGTCATTATAATCTGAACACACATCTGTATACTGTATCAGTGTAGACAGCGTCAGTCATTATAATCTGAACACACACTGTATACCGTATCAGTGTAGACAGCGTCAGTCATTATAATCTGAACACACATCTGTATACTGTATAAGTGTAGACAGCGTCAGTCATTATAATCTGAACATACATCTGTATACTGTATCAGTGTAGACAGCGTCAGTCATTATAATCTGAACACACACTGTATACTGTATCAGTGTAGACAGCGTCAGTCATTATAATCCGAACACACACTGTATACTGCATCAGTGTAGACAGCGTCAGTCATTATAATCTGAACACACATCTGTATACTGTATCAGTGTAGACAGCGTCAGTCATTATAATCTGAACACACACTGTATACTGTATCAGTGTAGACAGTGTAAGTCATTATCATTGTAGACAGCGTCAGTCATTATAATCTGAACACACATTGTATACTGTATCAGTGTAGACAGCGCCAGTCATTATAATCTGAACACACACTGTATACTGTATCAGTGTAGACAGCGTCAGTCATTATAATGGCTTCAGTTTGATTATGACGCAATATGCATATCCAGTGAACGCAAATGTCAGCCGTTACTTGACTGAACGCCAGTGGGCGGAGCCTATGGTGTGATGTATAACTATTGGTCGATGTCTCACTCTGGAGGCAGGCATATGCAAATATATTTGCCTGTGTGACATCACAGATATCGCAATATCAAAACAAGGGGTGCTTCTCAATATCCCTCCTCGTCTCCTCGCTCCTCCGTCCTCCATCCTATGACCCGGAAACCAATCGAGCTCAGCCATCTTGAAGGACATCTCAATTCTCTAATTGCACCGCGAGGAGGCGAGGATCGAGGAGTGAGGAGCTTCCAGAGGAGCGATGAGCGAGGATTCCTGTCTGGCACCCCAGCATATAAAAACCCCAAACAAAGAGTATGGGAAAACATTACAACACAGGTGTACCCTTTGCGGAAGAGTTTTATCGACTAAACATGACGCACGTATCAATTCTCCTCCCCCTTCACATCTGTCACAATCATTTGAATTTATACTTTACTTTTGTAGTTTACATAAACCACACAACTCACATATTTCAACAAGGTATCTTGCTTTATTATTATTTATTATGAATTTCTTAAATAAACAAACTTTAACAACATAAGGGCAGATCCTTTGAGCGCTGCTGATGACGCAGTGAAGTGACGCTCGAGTGATCAAGTATTCCAATGTATAAAAAAAGCTTTCATTCGATTCCTCCGTCCTCATTTTCTTTCCTTGCAGCCTTCCCTCGCGTCCTACAGGGGGTGGAGCTGAGACGCGAGGGAAGGAAGCGAGGAAAGGAAACGAGGATGCACAAATAAGAAATGAGAAGCACCCATGCTGTTTTTGGAGCTTGAATAAATAAATGCTTTGTTTATAATGAGGATGATGTTTTAATGGTACAAAGAACTCTTATATGTCTAAAGATGTCATGATCCCTTTTAGATCAATTAGCTGCCAAACTCTTCAACTTTGAACACAGAGATTTTAAAATGTTAATAATGTTGGGGACAGACTCACAGTTTAATGGTGGGATATCCTCGCACGCCGAACTCTGAGGCCATTCCTGCATCAACACATCAACAACCAGTCACATGACACAGCAATAACGGTTATTAACACGTAAACAGCACCTGTCAACATTTCATTGGGATTTTCATATAATCTGTGTTCTCCTCTTATGTGTTCTGCTGCCTGTGAGATCGAGTTAAAAACATGCAGTTACGTCTAAGTGAATGTAAACTGTTGGTGAAAAGAGGATTCAACAGTATTTAGATCTTCAGTTTTCACTGTGTTATGTTGCAGCTTTATGCTGAAATGTTTTCTCTTCAATCTCACTCGTCCCCGATAACGAGTGTTTCTTCAGATCTGTAGTGCAGTCACAGTCCCGCTGTCCCTGAAGTTAGGGTTCGTTCATTAGGATCTTTCTTCTGTTGTATTCATATGTCCTAAGTAAGCAATGAGGTACTAGCCTCGAGTACCTTATTGCTTTTATAAAACGGTTCCCACACAATACAAATATTAAAGCCGAAAAATATGTATCTATGCAACTTTAAAGAAGTAAAATCACTAAAAGTCTTCCTTCCGCTGGATAAAATAGTCCCTGGCCGTAAACAGCAACAGAAGTTACATACATTATTTCGCCATTAGATGTCGGCAAACACTGTGTTTATGAGTGTGTCAGTCAGTAGAGGAGACTTTTACATTGAAAGGACTCAAACTTGTGATCACGCAACTGACAGATGACTATCGGCACGGAAAACCCCAGAACTGTTAAAAGGATATCGCTGCGCACATTCAAATTTTATTATGAATGTAGGACTGACCTGAAGGAAAATGCTGTCTACTGTAGATGCAGGTACACTCACTTACTCGATCTCTCACAATACTCTACTATACAATGAACAATATCAATAGATCAAACATGTGTTTGGCAAGTTGCCAAGAGCGGTTGCTAGGGGTGTTGTGTAGTGATACATAGCCGTGTTTTATCGTGAATAAAACACAGCTATTGACCCATCAGAATCAAGGATTGGAACTAACAGTTTTATAATGCTTCTTGTTCTTCGGTTTTATTATGAACTGGTAAATTGTTTTCAGAAACTGAATGAGGACCACTTGTATATATTTCTGCCGTGATATATCGCCATTGAAAATTGTAAAAATGTCCCAACTCTAAACCGACTCCTTTTTAATGTCATTTTAACTAAAACAAATCTGATCTCCAGGCTTTCCTGAGCTCGAGTTTCTGTGACGGCAGGACTGAGTCTGTGTGACTGAGAGTCGAGCTACGCAAGAAAAACTACCATTCACTCGCAGTCTTGTGTGGAAACTTGTTTGGAAACCACTAATGACGACCCTAATGTGTGTGTGTGTGCGGAGACTCTGTCTGTGTGTGGAGACTCTTTCTGTCTGTCTGTGTGTGTGTGTGTGTGTGTGTGTGTGTGTGTGTGTGTGTGTGTGTGTGTGTGTGTGTGCGGAGACTCTGTCTGTGTGTGTGTGTGTGTGTGTGTGTGTGTGTGCGGAGACTCTGTCTGTGTGTGGAGACTCTTTCTGTCTGTCTGTCTGTGTGTGTGTGTGTGTGTGTGTGTGTGTGTGTGTGTGTGTGTGTGTGTGTGTGTGTGTGTGTGTGTGTGTGTGTGCGGAGACTCTGTCTGTGTGTGTGTGTGTGTGTGTGTGTGTGTGTGCGGAGACTCTGTGTGTGTGTGTGTGTGTGTGTGTGTGTGTGTGAGAGAGTGTGTGTGAGATCGATCACCCGAGTATGCAGTGGCGTCCATCTTCCCGACTCGCACCGGCGACCCTGAGTGTGTGAGTTCTGCTCCGACCTCCTGCCAGACCGGCTCCAGCTTCTTACAGTATCCACACCACGGGGCATAGAACTACACACACACACACACACACACACACACATCAGACACACAAACCACAGGTCATAGAACTACACACACACACACACATCAGCCACACACACCACGGGGCATAGAACTACACACACACACATCAGACACACAAACCACGGGGCATAGAACTACACACACCATGGTGCATAAAACTAAAGCACAATACACAGCTCAGACACACACACAAACACAAACACTCATCAGACAAACACACACTCATCAGACACACACACCGCATAAAACTACAGCACAACACACACACTACAGTAACATCATCTGCAAGAAGGGTCACTCACATCCACCAGCCAGACGTCGTCCATTCGGTTCTCCTTAAACCTACGGGAAACACAAGATCTACTGTAACGCTTCGTTTTCTGCTCTTAAACACTGATTACAGGAACACACTGAAGGACACACTGAAGAACACACTGAAGAACACACTGAAGAACACACTGAAGGACACACTGAAGGACACACTGAAGGACACACTGAAGAACACACTGAAGAACACACTGAAGGAGACACTGAAGAACACACTGAAGGACACACTGAAGGACACACTGAAGAACACACTGAAGGACACACTGAAGGACACACTGAAGAACACACTGAAGGACACACTGAAGAACACACTGAAGAACACACTGAAGAACACACTGAAGGACACACTGAAGGACACACTGAAGGACACACTGAAGAACACACTGAAGGAGACACTGAAGAACACACTGAAGGACACACTGAAGGACACACTGAAGAACACACTGAAGGACACACTGAAGAACACACTGAAGGACACACTGAAGGACACACTGAAGGACACACTGAAGAACACACTGAAGAACACACTGAAGGACACACTGAAGAACACACTGAAGAACACACTGAAGGACACACTGAAGGACACACTGAAGGACACACTGAAGAACACACTGAAGAACACACTGAAGGACACACTGAAGAACACACTGAAGAACACACTGAAGAACACACTGAAGGACACACTGAAGGACACACTGAAGGACACACTGAAGAACACACTGAAGAACACACTGAAGGACACACTGAAGAACACACTGAAGAACACACTGAAGGACACACTGAAGGACACACTGAAGGACACACTGAAGAACACACTGAAGGACACACTGAAGGACACACTGAAGAACACACTGAAGGACACACTGAAGAACACACTGAAGAACACACTGAAGAACACACTGAAGGACACACTGAAGGACACACTGAAGAACACACTGAAGGACACACTGAAGAACACACTGAAGGACACACTGAAGAACACACTGAAGGACACACTGAAGAACACACTGAAGAACACACTGAAGAACACACTGAAGAACACACTGAAGAACACACTGAAGAACACACTGAAGAACACACTGAAGAACACACTGAAGGACACACTGAAGGACACACTGAAGGACACACTGAAGGACAGACTGAAGAACACACTGAAGAACACACTGAAGAACACACTGAAGAACACACTGAAGAACACACTGAAGAACACACTGAAGAACACACTGAAGAACACACTGAAGAACACACTGAAGGACACACTGAAGAACACACTGAAGAACACACTGAAGGACACACTGAAGGACACACTGAAGAACACACTGAAGAACACACTGAAGAACACACTGAAGAACACACTGAAGAACACACTGAAGAACACACTGAAGAACACACTGAAGAACACACTGAAGAACACACTGAAGAACACACTGAAGAACACACTGAAGAACACACTGAAGAACACACTGAAGGACACACTGAAGAACACACTGAAGAACACACTGAAGAACACACTGAAGAACACACTGAAGAACACACTGAAGAACACACTGAAGAACACACTGAAGGACACACTGAAGGACACACTGAAGAACACACTGAAGGACACACTGAAGAACACACTGAAGGACACACTGAAGGACACACTGAAGAACACACTGAAGAACACACTGAAGGACACACTGAAGGACACACTGAAGAACACACTGAAGGACACACTGAAGGACACACTGAAGGACACACTGAAGGACACACTGAAGGACACACTGAAGAACACACTGAAGGACACACTGAAGAACACACTGAAGAACACACTGAAGAACACACTGAAGAACACACTGAAGAACACACTGAAGAACACACTGAAGAACACACTGAAGGACACACTGAAGGACACACTGAAGAACACACTGAAGAACACACTGAAGAACACACTGAAGAACACACTGAAGGACACACTGAAGAACACACTGAAGAACACACTGAAGGACACACTGAAGAACACACTGAAGGACACACTGAAGAACACACTGAAGGACACACTGAAGGACACACTGAAGAACACACTGAAGAACACACTGAAGAACACACTGAAGAACACACTGAAGAACACACTGAAGAACACACTGAAGAACACACTGAAGAACACACTGAAGAACACACTGAAGAACACACTGAAGAACACACTGAAGGACACACTGAAGAACACACTGAAGAACACACTGAAGAACACACTGAAGAACACACTGAAGAACACACTGAAGAACACACTGAAGAACACACTGAAGAACACACTGAAGAACACACTGAAGAACACACTGAAGAACACACTGAAGGACACACTGAAGAACACACTGAAGGACACACTGAAGGACACACTGAAGAACACACTGAAGAACACACTGAAGAACACACTGAAGAACACACTGAAGAACACACTGAAGAACACACTGAAGAACACACTGAAGAACACACTGAAGGACACACTGAAGGACACACTGAAGAACACACTGAAGAACACACTGAAGAACACACTGAAGGACACACTGAAGAACACACTGAAGAACACACTGAAGAACACACTGAAGAACACACTGAAGAACACACTGAAGAACACACTGAAGGACACACTGAAGAACACACTGAAGAACACACTGAAGAACACACTGAAGAACACACTGAAGGACACACTGAAGGACACACTGAAGGACACACTGAAGGACACACTGAAGGACACACTGAAGAACACACTGAAGGACACACTGAAGGACACACTGAAGGACACACTGAAGAACACACTGAAGGACACACTGAAGAACACACTGAAGGACACACTGAAGAACACACTGAAGAACACACTGAAGAACACACTGAAGAACACACTGAAGAACACACTGAAGAACACACTGAAGAACACACTGAAGAACACACTGAAGAGAACACACTGAAGGACACACTGAAGGACACACTGAAGAGAACACACTGAAGAACACACTGAAGGACACACTGAAGGACACACTGAAGAACACACTGAAGGACACACTGAAGAACACACTGAAGAACACACTGAAGAACACACTGAAGAACACACTGAAGAACACACTGAAGAACACACTGAAGAACACACTGAAGAACACACTGAAGAACACACTGAAGAACACACTGAAGAACACACTGAAGGACACACTGAAGAACACACTGAAGGACACACTGAAGAACACACTGAAGGACACACTGAAGGACACACTGAAGAACACACTGAAGAACACACTGAAGAACACACTGAAGAACACACTGAAGAACACACTGAAGAACACACTGAAGAACACACTGAAGAACACACTGAAGGACACACTGAAGGACACACTGAAGAACACACTGAAGAACACACTGAAGAACACACTGAAGGACACACTGAAGAACACACTGAAGAACACACTGAAGAACACACTGAAGAACACACTGAAGAACACACTGAAGGACACACTGAAGAACACACTGAAGAACACACTGAAGAACACACTGAAGGACACACTGAAGAACACACTGAAGGACACACTGAAGGACACACTGAAGGACACACTGAAGGACACACTGAAGGACACACTGAAGAACACACTGAAGGACACACTGAAGGACACACTGAAGGACACACTGAAGAACACACTGAAGGACACACTGAAGAACACACTGAAGGACACACTGAAGAACACACTGAAGAACACACTGAAGAACACACTGAAGGACACACTGAAGAACACACTGAAGGACACACTGAAGAACACACTGAAGGACACACTGAAGGACACACTGAAGAACACACTGAAGAACACACTGAAGAACACACTGAAGAACACACTGAAGAACACACTGAAGGACACACTGAAGGACACACTGAAGAACACACTGAAGGACACACTGAAGGACACACTGAAGGACACACTGAAGGACACACTGAAGGACACACTGAAGGACACACTGAAGGACACACTGAAGGACACACTGAAGGACACACTGAAGAACACACTGAAGAACACACTGAAGGACACACTGAAGAACACACTGAAGAACACACTGAAGAACACACTGAAGAACACACTGAAGAACACACTGAAGGACACACTGAAGGACACACTGAAGAACACACTGAAGGACACACTGAAGGACACACTGAAGGACACACTGAAGGACACACTGAAGAACACACTGAAGAACACACTGAAGAACACACTGAAGAACACACTGAAGAACACACTGAAGAACACACTGAAGGACACACTGAAGAACACACTGAAGGACACACTGAAGAACACACTGAAGGACACACTGAAGGACACACTGAAGGACACACTGAAGGACACACTGAAGGACACACTGAAGGACACACTGAAGAACACACTGAAGGACACACTGAAGGACACACTGAAGGACACACTGAAGAACACACTGAAGGACACACTGAAGAACACACTGAAGGACACACTGAAGAACACACTGAAGAACACACTGAAGGACACACTGAAGGACACACTGAAGAACACACTGAAGGACACACTGAAGGACACACTGAAGAACACACTGAAGAACACACTGAAGAACACACTGAAGGACACACTGAAGAACACACTGAAGAACACACTGAAGAACACACTGAAGGACACACTGAAGAACACACTGAAGAACACACTGAAGAACACACTGAAGAACACACTGAAGAACACACTGAAGAACACACTGAAGAACACACTGAAGGACACACTGAAGGACACACTGAAGAACACACTGAAGGACACACTGAAGAACACACTGAAGGACACACTGAAGAACAAACTGAAGGACACACTGAAAAACACACTGAAGGACACACTGAAGGACACACTGAAGAACACACTGAAGAACACACTGAAGAACACACTGAAGAACACACTGAAGAACACACTGAAGAACACACTGAAGGACACACTGAAGGACACACTGAAGAACACACTGAAGAACACACTGAAGAACACACTGAAGGACAC